AAACACACAAAAAAAGGAGGGGAGATAAGGACGATAGATGTTTGATAGGAAAGAAGAAGCAAACCACACCAGAGCACCCGCCAACCACCCACTGTCCTGACAGATCCTCAGCCCAGTTTTCTCACAGTCACATGGTGAAGGCTCTCTGTATGCTGCTTTGACAACGAATAAAAGCGCGCTGTTTGAGGCACTTTTAAAGAAATGCCGAACTTCTTTTCTCCATACAGATTTTATTGTTCTATTTACTTTACCTGAAACGTTAAAATACTTGCAACAGCATGCATACTGAGAAATTTGTGTTTCTGATTTTATCGCTTTTAAGGACAAGCGGGGGGTTTCCAGAAATCTTGACCTACACCAAAAGTGGGCATTGTCCTACCTATAGGAGAAGTTTGGTTTCATTCGTGTGTATATTTGTTTGGTTAAGGGAAAACTCTCCTTGTCTTTTAAAGAAATTGAAAGAAGGGCAAAATCTTTACCTTCGATTTTCTCAAAACAGCATTTTTCGGGATAGCCCCCTTGTGCTTAAAAGCGACCATTTGTGCAGTGCATGAGGGTTCAAAATCTACCACTATAACATTGCTTTTGGTGTGCTGTCGGCCGGGCATACATGTAGATCTATGTGTCCCTTTCTTCCTCCAAGAGGTCAGCGCCGAGATCCTGCCAGGTTTTGGGCCAGGGAAGGGGCCAGGGAAGGGGCCAGAATACCACGGCTGTCTATACCGCGGCCTGCTTGGCAGATCCGGCTCGCTAGGTTCAGTTTGTCGTCATGCTAGGCCTAGTTCGGGCAGCAAACTATGGTGCGTCAACAATACGTGGCTCAACTTATCCTCAGATATCTCTTTAACGGGTCAATCAATGTCACCCATACTTTGCACAGCAGTTTGTTTCAATCTGTCTTTACTTAATAATTTTTCCTGAACAGTCGGGGTTAGATTAAAAAAACAACCTTTCTTCACAAATGTATGTACTATAGTCTACTTGAAATCTCTGTCAAGTGTCGCTCGGCCGCGAGAGTCAGTAAGCAAACGGGGGCGCTGGGAGGAGGTAAGGGGGTGGGGTGGGGGGGGGGAGCACAGAATAACGACAACAGCCACGAGAAGGTGCACATTTCATTCAGCTGACGTAGACAAAATTAATTAACGGTCGACGAGGGAGAACGTAGGTGGAGAAGTTGTTTACAGTTTTTTTTCAATGTGGGGGGGGGGGGGTGTTGTTTTGTACCCCCCGTCGACACAGTTTAGGCCAGTCAGGAGGAGGGCTGCGACACTAGGTGGCAGATGTGGCATGCTTAGAATTGGCTCACCAAAATAGTTTCATTATTTGTGAGACAGCGTGGTGGAATCAGGCTCTCGTCAAAATAATCAAAGTCAAGAAACCTGCATTGTTCCGCAGGTTTGTGAATTTTTATCAAATTTTGGTTTTTTGGCTGAACATCTTTCATGCCCGATAAAGAACTCATTTATGTGTGGATTTTTCTGAAAAAACTTTGATTAAAGGCACAAAAAATGTAAATTTTCAGTTACCACGGACTCTTAAGCTAAGGAAATAACTAATCTTTGGCGGCCATTTTCTCACAAATTTTTCCTCTGAAAACAGGTGCCCCCCACCTCATTTATTCGCAAATATCTCGACTTGTATTCAAAATAAAGACAAATGAACAAGCTTTAAGACGACACCAATGACTCTACGTGCCCAAAAATTGACGAGAGCCTGATTGCACCGCGCTGTCTCACATTTATATAATTCAATTCTTTTGTGCAAATTAAACGTGCTTTTATAGTCGTCACAACATCTTGCCCATCGCCCTTACGTTTTCAGAGTGCCACTGTTTCTCGGCCGACTTACGTCCCTTGATTTTCCTTGTGAGAAATAGTTTGTCTTGTAAAAGTCGTGGAAAGATACACGCGTGTAGATATCTAGTGTAATGTCATCCATCATACAACGACAACAACAACAACAACAACAACAGCAACAAACATACAAACATACAAACAAACAAACAACAACAACAGCAAACAACACTTACACAAGGAGAAGTTACACATACTAAAAAGGAGCAACAAAAGCTCTAGAATCAAAGACAACAACAACACAAACCCACAATTCTTTGTCTTACCAACATGCTCTTTTCCATTGATGTGGAAGCGAATTTCCTGGGTGCTGGGGATGAGTAAAGGAAAAACTCACTCACGACGTGTACACCTCGTTTACTTCAGTTGAGAAAGTAACGTTGAGTACATAAATCCGGCTTTCTAAAAAAACGTGCAAACTGATGACAAGTAGAAAAGCAGTCACCAAGTACTACCTCATTTGATTTTTTTCTCTTCCAAGATATTCTTAGCAATCTGCCAAGAAACCACTTTTCTGTTGCTTCTATCCTATTTTCAGGAGAAGCAATAATTATTTTGAAATAAAAATCTCGCCAAACGTCTGTACCTAGCGCAACCGTCACGGTTGTCCACTTCAGACTTCCACTTCCGGTACATGACGTCACCAAAGTGTTCTTTTCTCGGTCTCGAACCCCGGAGCTTGCTGTACCTGGGTGGACTGTCACACTCACACAGAGCTTGCTGTACCTGGGTGGACTGTCACACTCACACAGAGCTTGCTGTACCTGGGTGGACTGTCACACTAAGGACTTGCTGTACAAGGTAGGCAGTCACACTCACACAGAGCCTCTCAGTTGAGTCAAGGTCTTTGGGAAATCCTCCCCGAAATGTTTAGAAAGATGGAAGTCTGGAGAACAAGTTGAGGGAGGGGAAGAAGATGACTCTCTCTGTACTGGTCAAAAACAGACAGACAGACAGACAGACAGACAGACAGACAGACAGACAGACAGACAGACAGACAGACAGACAGACAGACAGACAGACAGACAGACAGGCAGACAGACAGACAGACAGACAGATTTTAGATTTGATAAGAGTTTTATGGCACTAGCAACAGAAATAGGTCACACAAGACTTAGTGTCGAAGGTTAGAAGAGGTGTTGCCAGAGAGGAACATACTAAAGAAAAGAAGGAGAGATAAGGACGATGGGTGTTTGATCGGAAAGAAGGAGCTAATCACACCAGAGCACCCACCAACCACACACGCATGAGCTGAAGTCACTGCTGCGTTGGCACAATTCACGCCAGGGAAGGAGGTAAAGATGCCATGTCTCCACACTATTTAGATCTGCTAGGAGTGAGGTTGCGACGACCCTGCCTGTCCGGGACAAACCCAGGCTGAGAGGACCCAGCAGACAGACCAAGACACTCCATAAAAGTTCTCGTTACAAAAAGTTTAAGTAAGTGTTTCATGGTACTTTCAAAACATACAGAGACAAGGAGAAGAGATAAGTAAGTATACTAGATGTTTGATAGGACAGAAGGAGCCAACCACACTAGAGCACTCGTCAATCTTCGCAGCGCCACCCGGGCCTACCATAAACATGGTCCTTGAGAGTCGGCTGCATTGTTGGTGGTCCGTGCACGCCTGTCTCACAGGCTTTTGGGGCCTATAGAGAAATGGAGCCCGCCCCCCCCCCCTTTCCTCCCCAGGACAGTGCCACTGACTGAAGTGTCTTTAGGCCATTCCCAAAGGGGGGATATTAACATGTTCTCATGCACAGTAGAATTGTAAATGGGCTGATTTATTAATGTCATGCTCATACTGTGCCGGAACAACATAGGGGGAACTGCTACTATTTCTTTCCTCATCCTTACTATTGTCATTTTTCCACTACTTCTTTTGTATGTTTGTCACACTCTTGTAAACTGCAATTTCCAGAGTGTCTTGATAGTCGAAGCAGACTTTGTGCTGTTGAGGCTAGAGAGTTGAGCAGTGTAAGCCTAATTCCCCGTTTGGACTTCTCTGTTGACATCCACCCCTTGGCGCTCATATGACCTAATGCAGTTACGAGCGCGTAAAAACCTTTACTTTACTGAAACTAAACTAACAAAACAGGGAGAGGTGGGCAGGCGCCCCGCTGCCCCGCGCAGAAGACTTAATTAACATACACCTACCCAAGTGCGGGTCCCCCTCATTCTTTCTCTTTGTGTATATTTCTTTACAGTTTTTCTCCCATTCACTCTCCCTCTTCGACACACCCACACAAAGGCTTTTTACATACATCAGATACACACACATGATGCTTGTCATTTGAATGTGCGCTCAAACGCACACACATACACACACACACACACACACGCACACACACGCACACACACACACACACACACTCTCTCTCTCTCTCTCTCTCACACACACACACATACACACACATACACACACACCAGAGAGAGAGAGAGAGAGAGAGAGAGAGAGAGAGAGAGAGAGAGAGAGAGAGCGCGCAATAATAAAACATATTTATCACACACACTCACCTGGCTGGCATGATGAACAATTCACGTGATCAAACTTCTTCTTCCACTGATATGCGACAACTTTTTAAAAACTTCAGCACCGTCTCCAGAAAGCAACAACAACAACAAATAACAACAACAAATAATAACAACAATATTACGTTCAAATGAACTCTTCATTCAGTGTGATATCACAACTAACAATTTATTTATTCAATGCAATGTTTTGATTTCTTCCTTCTTCCTCCGATCGTTTTGACGAAGTTTTCTACTGTCAAGTGACACGACACGGGTGATCAAGTCGCCAGCAACAACCGCAGAACCCACACATCCACGCAGGCCCATGTTTATATTCGAGGCAGAATTAGGTCAAGCCAAACTCGGGTCTAGTTCTCGCGCGGGCGTCAAAACCTCAACAAAAACCACGACGACAAGGATCGTCAAAACGGACGGCGGAAACTGTCGAGTCATCCGCCCGTGACTCTACCTCCCAATGAGGCTTCGGTTAAAAAACAGGTTGTTCGTTTGTCGTAACTGCAGGATACAGGAACCAGATCTGACGATATAGATCTCTACGTGTACTTTGTCTCATTGTTAGTGGACGCCTTCATGACCCCAGTGAACCCATCTCACAGGCGGGTACAGAACACTCCTAATGTACCTGTTTGGTCGTTTCTTTTGTTTCTAGATTATTATTGGGTGAAAAGGTATCTATCTGTCTGTCCATCTATCTGTCTATCTATCTATCTATCTATCTATCTATCTATCTATCTATCTATCTATCTATCTATCTATCTATCTATCTATCTATCTATCATTCTATCTCTCTCTCTCTATCTTTCACTATATATATCTCTCTCTATCTATCTATCTGCATATTGTATACTGTTGACGACCTTGAAAGAAGCTGGACATTTAGCTGGACATTGTGGGACTCACGTATTTCTGTTACTTTACGTTGACCTTTGACTTCCACGGAGATATCAGAATATTTTACCAGTTACGATATCAGTTACAGAGCAAACTCCAAATTCCGTAGATCTAAGCCTGTCGAAGGTTTAGAAACCGAATCGTATTTTTAAGTATGATCCCCATTTATAAAAAAAAAACTGATAAAATTATTTAAAACTCTTTTCCTAACCCTAACCCTAACCCTAATCTTAACTCAAACCCTAACTGTTTATACAAATCTAACGTCATGCCGCTAAAAGAAAGAACAAGATTAGTAATACCCTAGACGATCAGTTAAGAACGTATAGGTAACACCACTATATAGTGCGGTCAGAAATGCATGGGGCATCTTCCTGTGGAATATCTCCTTATCCATTGAACATAAATTCTCCAACTTTTGCACAATGACTTGTAATTAATTTATCTTAACAGGTGAATATTTTTTCAAACGCCTGCACACTGCATTCTAGAAAATTCCTTACTAAATAATAATTTAAAAATCCAAGTCGATGTTCTCTACAGATTTTTAAAAAGTTTCAGCTCGGGCAATATCGCCTTTAAAAGCAAGTCCGTCATTGTGTTTCTAATGGCGGCTTTATGTTTATCAATGATAGTACATAACAAGATGGGCCACTCAGCCAAAAAAGTGTCCGCAGGAAGTATGCTCTTTGTTTCTAATGGCGGCTTTATGTTTATCAATGATAGTACATAACAAGATGGGCCACTCAGCCAAAAAAGTGTCCGCAGGAAGTATGCTCTTTGTTTCTAATGGCGGCTTTATGCTTATTGAACGCATGTTTTGAGAACCTTTAGCGCAAAATAAATGTGCGTATACAAAATGTGTGCGAGAAGCGGGAAGTGCTGTGAACAATCCCATTTTCCCTACGACAGAGATTTATAGATCTAGGCCTAGTACTGTATATACATTTATGAAGAAAAGTTTTTCAATCTAGCCTCAATTGTTGTGGGAAAATATGAGTAAGTTAAGACAAATTGATACAAACTGCTGGGCAAAGTATGAGTGACATTGATTCACCCGTTAAGAGTTTCTGCCGTAAGCCGACAAAAAGCCTTGTTTTCATTTTAGCCACATAATTTTTTATTAGCTAAATCGAAAGCCTGATCAGTTACCCTGCTTGTGTAGACAAATCGTAGTGAAATTGTGACTAGTTTTTTAATAAATTAGAATTCAAATTTCGGAATCACTCTTTTATCTTTAAATGATTACACTGACCAAAAATTATTTTTTTTCTCGAAACTGTGGTGAAGAATAAAAGCCTTGTTTTGTCAGCTTAAGGGAGATGTGAGGATACTTTGCGCCACGAATTGTTGACCGCACCATCACGTGACACGCCTAAATACACTGTGCTGCCTTAGGAGCAAGAGTTTCTATGTCAGTGTTTCATGCCTCCTCTTCGTTTGTAAAACATGATTTTGAGAAGCGAACGCCCCCCCTCCCCTCCCCACCACCGTCACCCCCTCCTTGAGGGAGAGAGAGAG